CCGGTCAAAAGATCACCTGACACCTTCACAGCCCTTCTTTATTCCAGGTCGTCCAAGCATGGACAGCGTGCTCGCGCCGCTGCATGAATGGTTGCATGCAATGAATCAAGGGAGTCCGTCGACATGATCTACACCGATTTCATCAGAGCGTTAGACAAAAGGAACCATGGCGTCCTCCTTCACAGTCTAAGTGCATGCGGTGTTGGCCGCTCACTGCACCGCTGGATCCGCGAGTTTTTCATTGGACGAAAGTGGAGACTGCAAGTTGATAGCCACCTGACCGAGCGGTATACTTCTACCTCGGTGCTGGGGCCTGCATGGTTTCTATTTTATAGCAACGATCTATGTCAGCTTCTTCGGTCACAATGTGCCCTGTTTATGAATGACCTGAAGGTGTGGAAGGTGATAAACACTTCAGCAAGACCTAAACCGTCTTTCCGTGTGGTCTGCAGAAGTTCGCCTTCCAGTCAGCCCATCCAAGTCGGTAGACATAAGCTTTGGGAAGGGTGGTGACGGCCGAGCCTACACTCTTAATGCATCCCACACCTTCCGTGAAGGACCTGGGCGCGCTCTCACATTACGATTTGTAGTCCGTGGACAACACGAACATGCCAGACTAATACAGCCTGCGAATGCTATGGGCGCTCAACCTCAGCTTCTGCACTTGGTCTGAAGAGGTAGCTACTCGTCTCTTCTCTAATATCAGACCAATGCGAGAGTACGGCTCGTCCTCCCATTGCCCGACCACTCTAGGTGAGGCGCAGAAAATCGAACTGATTCAGCAAGTCACTACCAGGCTCATCACCAGTTTACGGGCTTATCGCACGTAGACAGGCGCGAGAGGCTTGTACTCTACACGCTGGCATATCGCTAGACGCAAATCCACCTCATCATGACCTACTGCATTCTGCATCTGGGTGATTTCCCCATACTTAGGGCCCTGTTCTACTTGCAAATACTTTACGCCTCACACAGACACCAGTAGATGTTTATGACTCCAGATCGGAAGCGTGTTCCTCATATGCTGCGCTTTAAACTGCGTGTGGTCAATGTTTGGCACAGCTTATCGTAGAAGCGAACTCCGTGCAGCATTTCAAAACAATCGCTTAATAGTTGTCCGTTGCTACAGAGTGAGATTAAAATGGGATGTGTCGAAGCAAAAAATATCGCGTAGCGGTGGACTCACCGCAAATTTCAAGTGTGTACATTGTTTGCTTACGTTGGTGCGTGCCCCAGTAACTTGAGTTAAAGCATGTACTGCAAGTGGTGTAATGCAGCATCCGGTCCACTGAAACACTTTTCCCTTTATCATGAACTTTTATTTTCGCAATAATTTTCATTCCACGGGACTTGTTAGGCAGTGCATTGCATTTTGTACCCGCAATACACCATTGTTCCACCACTGTTCCATCTAAGTATGGTGTCGTAAGGTGGTTCGTAATTTAGCTAAAAATTTGCAGGTACAGAAGCCTAGTCTGTTGTTTACTGAACCGTAAAACAATTGGTGAGAACAAAGAGTGAAGCGATGGATTTATCACGGATAGAGAAGCAAATGCTTGACAGTTTTGCGTATGTAAAGAGTGAGATCAAAAATGGATGTATCAAAAAAACCCGCATAGTAGTGAACTTACTGCAAAGTTCATGTGTTCACATCATCTGGTTAGATTGTAGCGTGTCCCACTAAATTGGGTGAAATCATGTAATGCAGGTGGTGTACGACATCAGCAAATCGTGTTTTGAATTCGGACAGCGTAGGAGCAGATAGAACAAAATGTGGGAGTAGATTCCATGGCTGGGATACACGAAAGGAGAAAAAGCTGCGGTGGGATTCTAATCGGCTATAATGTGTCGCTAAGTTCAAATGCTGACCTCTCAGTGAGGTGTTGTGCCTGAGTTTCAGTAAGGGTCTCGATGGGTGATTAGAGTTCTTGAGGATCTGACAAACAAATAAAAGATCACCTCGCATAGGACGACATTGTTCATTAGAAACTCTTGGAGTCTGTAGTCTCAAAGGTAAGGGAGGTGTAGAAATCCCTTGACACATTTTGTCGTCCTCCGTTGTGGCTTCTTAAGCGCAGTGGGGTCATGCTTTTGCCAAGTGCGACACACCTGAATGGCGTGTTCGACTTTTGGTCTCACATAAGCGTTGAGCATTAGCGAAAAGAAGGTAGGATCAAACCGGCCGAACACACACACACCGTAGTAGACCCAAGTGTTGGTTTACTTTTGCATTGCTATCTCAGCCTGCGTTGAACATCCGACATCGTCCTGCACGAGCACCCCGAGATCACTTTCATGAGAAGCGCACCGCAGGATGTGTTCTCCCAGTTGATATCAGCGGCTACTATGGTGGCGTATGCTCATTATTTTGCAGCTGGCAGAGTTAAACTCAAGCATGTTCTGGATCAGCCATTCGAAAGCCCTATCGAGACCACCCTGAAGTGCTATTTGATTGCCTACTAGTTTGACTGTCCTCCAAATCTTGAGGTCGTCCGCAAATTTAGAAGGTTCGAAGTCAGCAATTCCGCAATGTCGTTTATGAACACGGAGAATAATCTTAATCATATTACTGTGCTTTGAGGGACGTCACACTGAACTTCTATCAAGTCAGACGGTGCTACGAACCCTCACGTTCAAGTGTCGTTGGGTGAATGAATCCAGCCTAGGATAGGGTCACCGATCCGGTAGCTCCGAAACCTTTGAAAAAGAATCCGCTGATTACGACGATAAATGCCTTCAATATATCAAGGTAAGCGGCGTCGACTCTTTCTCCAGCATCGATGGATTGCATCCAGATAGCACGGGCTAACAAAAGATTAATGGTACACGAGCGGTTTTGGCGGAATCCATGCTGTTTTTGCACGGTAATATGACACCTTTCTAAATATCTCATAAATGTATCTGTAACGACAGATTCCATGACTTTAGCAACTACAGGAAGGAGAGTAATCGGGCGGTAGTTTGTGGGAACTGCACGCTTGCCTCGCTCGTAAATGAGGGCGACTATTATACGTTTCCACCTTTTCGGGACCTGCATCTCCTCGAGAGATCGCTGGAAAAACCGAGATAATGATTCAACCAAGCTCGTGGCAGGTACCATCAATGACTTGGGGCGTATGCCATCCGGACCAGGTGAACTGCACTCGCGTAGTAGTTGTTTCAACGCATCCGCGGCTGTGAAGTAGAGGTGGCCAAGTCCTTGCGGTGAGGTGATACGTGTGAGAATGATTTGACACGGTGATGCATTTTGGAAATTACAAACGAACTGATGTCTAAGAACATTAGCTGTTTCTTGGGCACTTCACGCTTAACCACTGAGGATGTTTACAGGAGGGAAGCCACGCTGTAAAGTAGCTTATGGCTGCAGCGGAACTTCGCCATATCTCGTTGTTTCAATTTATCTTCGCAGGCCAGTTTGGTACAGTACTTTCGCTTAGTTATGTATGCACTTCAGTTTACGGCGTCTGGATCGCATTTGTATGCTTTCCAAAGTGGATCACTCAGGTCAATTCGTTTCGGGGTCCTGCTTCTCAGAAAGGATTTTACTTTGTTCCAGCTAAGGATTTTAGTCCCTGATACGTTTGTTACTAAAGTGTTGAACTGCTCGACGAAGTTTCCCCAAGTGTCATCAGGGGGTCGTTCTGTTAGGAACGACCAACCAGTGATCTGAATGAGGTCGGATAAAAAGTGATTCATTAGCATGCGGACCTTTTTGATTTCCCTCTTGCACTGTTCAGCATAGCAGACGTAGATTCCGAGAACAATTACACACTGACAATGATATTCCAACTTTGTTAGTCCCAATTTACTGTGATTTCTACCCTATTTTGTACAAATATGCAAAACGATCTTCGTGCTGATAGGCCATAGTTTTTAAACGTTTTTGCTCAAATGTCGATGAAGTTGTACAGATTCAACGTTCTACTTGGTTGCACAATGCAGTTTTCAATGTTCTAACAGCGTTTACAATCGCATAGAGAAAAATTGATTTCATTCTCTTTCAGCTGCCGCTATGTCCCCACCAAACTTTTATCCTAATGTCCTTCGACGGTCTCTTTGATGTATTAAATGACAGCGGACGTCAGCTCCTCTCTTTTCCCTTGACATTTGCGTCGAAAAATGGCGTCTTCTAGCCAAAGGCGTTGCGGATACACTCTCGCTGGCATGTGTGACTTGAACATTCTCATACGTGGTTTATCCGTCGAAGAATCCAACTTTGAACAGGATCTAATTTTACGCCAAGGACATCTGCCTGCGCTGCCTCTGGTGGTTTAGTCAATGCGCGGTCATGGCAGAACTGACTGCTTGAACACTTCGGATTGCATTAGCTTGGTCGCAACAACGTTTCGATGTCGCCCAGTTTGATATGACAAACATCCCGTTTGGCTAGCAAGACATCCAGTTTGGTGTGGACGTCGTTCAGTTTTAAGTGAACATAGTATGCATGACGGCGAGATCCAGCTTGATAGTTGTCCATACTCTTTACTTTCCTTATTCAAAATTAGGCGTTCGATAAGCACTTGTTCGAACGGATTCTCTATCAACGACATAGTTTTGGTTTCTGCAGACTAGTACCGGACTCAAAGAGAATTGCCTAGAATGCAGTGTTAGGTGGCCCCATGTAGTTGTCAATCTGATCATGCGAAAGCACCTCGTTTATTGACTTCACAGACCTGACATACAACTACAACTCTTTTAATCCAGTGTGCACATAAACTGATAGTCTACGTAGACAGCTTGTCATAAGCAGTGTAAAGAACACCTGAGGCTGTTAACGTGAGCTTTCGCATGGTCGACATGGTCAACTTGATATACTTCTACGAGAGCATGCTCGCCTAGCGTCTGGACAAACATCTCGAGAAATAGGGTTAAACGATCGCATAAGATTATGGGAAACATAATCTGGGACCAAGGTTGTATATCAAGCTATGTATCGCATAAACCAAATTTTCTTTGTTCCAAACCATTGTAGCGCATCCAGCCGACGAGAGGAGCATTTGATGATGGTATTTCAGGATCCTGATACAACAGGAATACTCACACATCGCTTGATGGAATTGACACACGATGCCGCGCTGCACAGGGGGCTAAAGAGGCCTCTACTGTTAGATTGTCAGGATGGACGAAGAGTTGAGGACTGTTTACGGTTTGATGATGCCGACATCGTAATCGTTAACTTCGCTACCGCGGTCCCCATGGAGGGCATTCAGATCGAGAATAACGTAATTCAGTGGATGGAACATGTGTCAAGGATGCAGATGAAATCGTACAGTTACGGATATCATGCTGATGACAGAGTGGGATGTCTTCCGCTCATTATATTACTTCTTCCAAATAGGGGTGAGTTTCTGCCGTAATGTTTTCTATCATTGTATTCTTATCCAATCGTACTAATCCTAAGTAGAATAGAACACATAAGCGCGTTTAAGGACCCTTTTATCTCTCTTGTTTTACAACGAAAATAAGAAGTCTTTTTTGGACCTACTGATTCGAATTGTTATTAACGAGGTCATCTTGAAGCTCTCGTTGTGTGAATGGATTGCGACGCGGAACAGTAATGTTCGATACTTACTGTCTCTATTTGATGCGATCAGAGAAGTTAGGAACTAGTCGTGTGGCGTAGCGTTTTCGAGGCAGATAACACTGAAAAGCGGGTTGACTTGAACAGTCAGCATCGATCAAGCCAACGCAAGGAATTAGGGGAGCAGATCAAATGCTCGGTTACCTAAGAGACAGCAAAGACAATTGGCCCTGTAGCTAAAGGTCCAGGGACACGTGAAGTGTATGATAATGACGTCGAACAGTGGAACACCGTCTTCCCCTGACCAAAGGATTAGGACTTTAACCAAAAAGTGGTTATGTTCACTATTGTTTCTTACTCGTAAACGTTAGTGCTCGTTTCACTTTGGGCGCTCTAAAAACTGTTGGGTAGAGCCTTAGCTGGCTATCGTATGCACAATCAAGACACCTACTACGCAGTAGTAGTACTGGATTGTCTCCACCTTTAGGCGAGAGCTTGGAGCTTATAGTCGAACAACTTTAAAAGACTGCTGTTACGAGCACCTCGCAAGTAGCGAGAGTACGTAAATTTTTGCAATTTACGTGACGTGGCTTCGACCAGTATAACTCACGTAGTAGTGTTCAGCCAAATCACATTTGTTCCCCTTCTGGGTCTCACCCGATCGAATTGCATGAAATATGCTAACGGTAAACCTTGTCCGTCAGATTGACTGATTCCAGCTCTCCTGCAGTCGGACAGAACGAGTGAAGTTCCCATTTCAGTAAAAAGATTGCACACATGACTGTGGACGTTTGTTCCATCCGTATGGCTAGAAAGGAAATGCGTACTTTTTCCCATCCACAACATGCTCGTTACTGGATTACTTTCTGGGCTTCTTAGTTCTCGGTCAAGCGAATAGTCTGTTTACTTGAAGCTTTCCCGTAGTTAGAAGTCTGGTACATGTCTTTAGCCCGTATCACGACTCGGAGCGAATCTGAAAACAACTATTATTCACTATGCAACCTGTCTAAGGCCATTGGTAAGTGGGTGCAACGAATACAAATATCGCACACCTTTCCAGTGGCTAGCATGGTCGGAATAAGGCAAAGTGTCATCCAGCACACAGATTACAACACGGCTCCAACACACACACACCACTTGCAAGCAGTGTATACGGAGAAATGCGCTTGCAGGATGTGTAAACATAGTTGTAACTCGTCCCCTTACTGTTTTTTAGTTGGCTAAGCTTGAGTTGCGTCGGTGCGCAGTCGCTCGCCAGACATGGTAAAACAAACAACGGATGTCATGACCTACTGTGAGAATCAGTTGAAACTGAGTGGCATCGTTGGAGTGTGTTTTAAGCACGATGAACTGGTGCCTCCGGTTAACAGAAATGGGTTGAGTTTGAGCTGCAAGAAAAGACTGGCTATACGCCCAATAAGTTCACTCACACATCTCGATAAAAGAGCGTTTGATTCCGGAAAGGCTGCTGGCTGCATGCAGTCAATTAGAGTATATGGCACCATAAAGAGTGCATCGCTTGTCATTGCTATAGTATGACTGTCAGATCAGTGGCATGGTTAAGCACATTTGATGATGTACCCAAAGCGTGTTGTCATGCTCGAGTGATGTTGACTGTTACTGAGTAGTGCAGCTAAGTATAGCATGGGCTCCAAAATCCCAGCATAGAATGTCAGAGAACAATGAACAATGATCTATTACGGGTAAAAGGCATGTGTTTGACAAGTCCTGAGGGATTGTTGGAGTGAAAACTAAACTTAAGAGGACTTTGTGAGTTGTTCGCAAATGACTTGAAGGTGTGGAAAATAATCCGCACACTCAATGATTGTGATTTACTTCAGCAGGACCTCGACTGCCTGTCGACATGATCTGCAGAGGTTAACCTTCCGATCAACCCTGCCAAGTCGCAATTTATGAGGTTGGGTAAGTGTGAGCACAGCCGAACGTACACAGTGGTTGGTCAACCGTTGCATCTCGCGCCTTTTGTGTGCGACCTCGGTGTGCTCTCACGCTACGACCTTAAGTCCATTGACAACACGAATAGGCTGTACCAAAACAGCCAACGGATGCTTTGGGCGCTCAGGCGCAGCTTCAGCACTTGGTCCGAAGAGATTGCTACTCGACTCTTCGTCTCGACAATACGACCAATGCTAGAGTACGGCTGTCCCGCATACTGTCCCATCACCCGGGGCGAAGTAGAAAAGCTTGAGCGGGTGCAGCATGTAGCCACCAGGCTGATTCCCAACTTACGAGGTATGCAATACGAAGACCGATGTAAGAAACTAGGGCTGTACACCCTAGCTTATCGTCGGCTGAGGGTTGCCCTCATCATGGCGCACCGGATAGTACATCTGAGTGATTACCCCATGTTGAGACAACTGCTTCATCTGCGCACACCAAATCGCACGCGAGGACACCGGTATACTTATCGTACCGAAGTTAAAGCGGGTCGTTCACCAACTCCGTTTCGAACGCAGAGTGGTAAATGTCTGGAACGACCTACCGCAGCACATAGTAGAGACAAACTCAGTGTCCGAATTTAAGAAGCTCCTAGACAAACACTTTGCAGAGACAAAATATAGAGAGCGGAACGATAAATAAGGAGTATATGTCCAAGATCGACGAATGATGCAGCTACACAGAGAAAGCTCTATTCGCTGCTTCGAACCAGTATTCAGTATCAGTAATTTTTTCGCTTTAAGCTTCTGTCGAGTTAAGTGCACTACTGCATAACAGTAGTTTGAAATGGGAATGGACTGTGCACACAAAAGATGGTAAGGAGAGCAGTTATAATTCGCGTACTCCATGAGAAACAAAAAAGGAACAGAATTGACAACCTTCACCCTTTGACAGACTTGATGCATTAATCCGGTTTAGGTACCTTCAAACTATTCCCAAGGACACGTATGTATGTATTCCTACCGCCACCTTGCGGAGAGAGCTGCTATGCACATAGTTTGGTTCGCGTTATTTCGTCCTCCGAATGAAGCGTATTATCTCAAGTAAGGCAGGGGAAAGTGTGTCCTCAAAGCGTTTTCTCAAGAGCCTTAATCTGAGGTGAGTTGGAAGGGCGTTTCAGGTTCGAGACACCTGGAGGAAGAACGCGTTTAGTGGACAACCAAGTCGACTGTACTAGGTGGCCAGTTTGAACTGGTAGCCATTCACTTTGCGACAGATTGCGGCAAGGTTGAATTGAGTTCGTTAGTATTAACTAAAAGATGACGAGATTTCCTTGCTGACGTTGATCGTCATCACCGTAGAATCTTAGGGCCCGCAGTCTACACTGGGAAGGTAGGTGAAACAAACCTCTAATTAGTTGTCAAACTTAACGTCCCAGCGGCCCACAAATCAAATAGCACAGCCAAGTTCGAACAAACACCAAGAGGAGATCTAATAGGGCGAAACGAGTAGGGTGCTTTTCCGGACTAGGTTGTGCTGTGTAGATCGCGTGCCACTGAGACGAGAACATTAAAGTATTACAAATAAAATTCTCCTACTAATTATTAATAAAACATATAGCCTCTACTAGTTTCAGATGCTATGGACGTAGCGTCTAGTGAGAGAAGTAATTACATTGAGAAGATAGCAACTGTCATCTGATAAGGTAATATCCCGCGTGGCAGTGGAAGGTAGGTTGAGCTGCATCCCTGTTAGCTTGCAAATTATGTGTCCTAGCCGTCGTCCCTGGTGGAACAATTGCTTGGGATGCTGGTTACTTGTCATCTGCCTGTAGCTGTCATTGTTTCGATCCCCAGCATGGGACCGAGGGAATGCGCACCACTGACGAGACCCAATAGGGCAAAACAAGTCTGCTGCTTTTCCGGACTACTCTGTACTATGTAGGGTGTGAGCCACTGAAACGAAAATATAAAGGATAAAAAACAAGATCCTTATACTCACTAATAATGTGAAATGTAGCCTCTTCTCGTTTCATAAGCTATGGACGTAGCGTCTGGTAATAAGAAGGAATGACCTTCGGCGGCAAGCCACAGTCATCTGCTAAGGTTGTAACTTGCGTGGCAGTGGGAGATAACTGGTGCTATATCCCCGTTATCTTGCAAATTATTTGTCCCAGCCGATTTCCCGCATTGTTGCGTGGCTAAGGCGGCTGGCTATTTGGCATCTGCCTCTAGTTATCATGGGTTGCATCCTCAGTACGGGACAGAGAGAATGCGCACCAGTGACGAGCCTCAATATGGTGAAATCAGTCTGATGCTTTTCCCGACTAGTCTGTGCTATGTAGTTTGTGAGCCACTAGGACTAGCCAACAAAAAGGTACAACTAAAATCCTCCTGCGCATTAGTACTATAAAATGTAGCCATCCTAATTTCAGATGGCATGGACGTGGCGTTTATTGAGGATGTAATGACCTTCGGAGGCGAGCCACTGTCATCTGTTAAGGTAGTAACCTGCGTGGCACTGGAAGATAGCTTGTGCTACATCGCAATTAGCTTGCAGATTAAGTGGCCCAGCCGACGTTCCCCTTGGCGCACTGCCTTAAGCTGCTGACAAGTTGTCATCTGCCTCTACCTTTCATGGGTTCGATCCCTCGTAGGGGACCGCATGTATGAGCACCACTGCGAGCTCAATGGGGCCAGTCGCGTCTGGTGCCTTTCCGGACTAGTCTATTCTATGTATTTTGTGAGTCACTGGTACGAAAACATTGCAAAATTATAATCAACATCCTCCTACTCATTAGGAATGTGAAATGTAACCTCTCCTCATTTCAAATGCTATGAACGTGGCGTCTAGTGAGTGAAGTAATGGCCTTCGGACGCTAACCACTGGCATCTGCTAAGGTAGAAACCTGCGTGGAAGTGGAAGATAGGTCGTGTTATATCCCAGCTAGCTTGCAAATCATGTGGCTTAGAGGACGTCCCCCGTGGCTTAATCTGGTGGCTAGTTGGCATCTGCTACTATAGTTCATAGGACCCGTCCACATTAGTGGACCACTAACGAGCTCCTATAGAGCGAGACGCGAATGGTTTTCCTGACTAGGATGTGCTATGTAGTTTGTGAGCCATTAGGACGAGGATATTTAAATTTATATATTTAAAAGCTTCCTACTCATTGGTAATCTAAGATGTAGCCCCTCTTAGTTTATAATTCTATGGACGCAGCGTCTAGTGAGGGAAAGTCATATTCTTCGGAAACTAACCACTGTCACATGCTAAAGTAGTAAACTTCGTGGCAGTGGAAAATAGGTCGTGTTATGTCCCAGTAAACTTGCAAATTATGTGGCTCTGCCAACGTCTCCCATTACTCAATGGCTTAATCTGCTGGCTAGTTGGCATTTGCTTCTAGCGGTCAATGCCCCGATCCTTATAGGGGACCAAAGGAATGCTCACCACTGACAAGCCACAACGGGGCGAAACGAGTCTGGTGCATTTCCGGCCCTAGCTGCGCCATGTAGTTTGAGCCACTGGGTCGAGAAGTTTAAAAATTTTCTTTTACTTTCCTCTTAGTCATTATTATGCTCTAATTACTTTGGTACCTCTACGTTGGGAACTTGAATTGCGTCGACGTCGCGCTTGCGCCTGGACGCCAGGCCTTGATCGCGTATTCCACGTGGGGCCTCAAGTATTCGTTCAGCAGTTCAATAGTGTATGATGGGATAAAAAGTATAACTTTACATGACCAACAGGATGGATATGCAAAGAAGATTAAAATAAAAATGTTCCAACATAGAACGTGAAGAATCAGTGGTTAAACCATTGCACTTTAGCAAACCGTTGTGTAGCATTTATCACTAAGATGAAACTCTAAGAGTCTTTGGAATGTCGTCATGTCTGGTGGGTTCACCACAACTTGGTATGTACTGCTAGCTTAAATTATTCGTAAGCTCTCCGTGTGTGTCCAGGAGTTTAACTGTGTCATATTTGCAGTAACTGCTTATCTATTTGATGTTAGAAGCTCAAAGGGAATGTCCAGTGTGTCAAAGATGAAGAGAAAAGGTCAAAGAGTAAATAGTATACCCATCATTTAGAGGAGAGGAAACCTTATTGACCACTGTAGGCGGATCTTGCCGCCGTAATGTGCACGAGTCCTACGTTTTACCGTTGTACCATGAATTCAGCTAAATGATTCGACGGCTTTCGTTACTTCATCCGTGGAGCCTCACCAATGAGCCGTACTTCCATGTCTAAGGAACTATGGCCAATCGCATGCAAAATGTTCTCGGACGCTTGGGGTGAGTTAACAGACCAGTTGATGATTCTGTACCTAGCTTATAGAAACACCTATCCTGAACTCACTGAGCGGCTTGATATTACTTTCGTAATCACCAGACGTAGTTGCTGAAAGGCACGTAGGACGCAGTCCAGAGTGGTTAAGCACAGAGGATAGTTCGGCCGCTTGCGGTGTCACAATGTTTACGTCAAATACAAGGGGAATCATGGTGTAGTGAGTCAGAGAGCCAATTTGCAACATCTGCCCCTCGACTGTGAGTCCTAGCTCCCTTCTAAGTTTTGGCATCCTATCGTGTTCCAGTCCGCACAAAACCACTTGCACGGATGTGCTGCTATTATCAAATAAACTACAATAGCAATCGTCACTTTTTACTCTTGCAAGTCGATGAGACGAAATGCCAACCCTGTAACGTAAGCAAGGTAAACACCAACGCTAAGCGCGAGTAGGACCTGTCAAGTATCTGCTGCAGTTATGGTCCAGTAGATCAGACTGACCAGACTGTTTCAAACCATAATATGGTCTAAGTTATGATCGTGTGCTGTAACGCATTCTCAATCTAATCACTCCAAAACGCCAAAAATACGAACTTGCCGGCTCGGGCGTGATCATTTACGTGATTGACGCGTCTCGGGCCCGGAAGTTTGACAGAAGGACCAGTCGCTCAAGTACATTCACTGCTATACAAATAAGCGACAACGCCAGCACACTCATTTACTGTCGCTCACCGGATATAAGAGCCCTGTGTCTCTAATAATTCTAAAGTCGAGTTTATGAAATACGACTTTGTCAGCGATGTTGCCTCTGTGACTTGTGAGCCGATACAACAACATGGTGTGCTAAGCCGCACTGTATATGGACGGAGGCTTTATTCTACATCCCACTGTCGTGTTCAAATACTTTGCTTTGTTTTTGCCTTCGGCTAGCTTATCCTACTCACACTTCTATTTAGTACTCGTTGGCCAATCATGTGATCTTGCATTTGATTGGTTGCAATTCGAACCTCTATCGATTTACTTGTACTGCGCGTGTGTGCAGACAGTTCTCTCCATACATACGTTCCGGTGCTATGCTGGTCTGCTGCTTTTTCGGGGTACAACACCCACGAAGGATCTGAATACGATGCACACACTACTTTTCCCTATAGGCGTGGTATATCGACCACCCGAAGGCCATGTCATGAATGCTTGGTGCTTACTTCTTTGAGCTTCTCCGGCGTTTGAATCACCTGTTCAGAGGTTAGTTACTCCCTACTCCCACATGCGCCGGAAAGCGTTCGAAGCGGCTGAAAACCACGAATTGTTGCGGAGAAGTCGTGGTTTTTGAACCTATTTAAGCTGGCATATAAAACCCTGAGATAATTTGGTGGCTTAGCCAGGGAAATCGTAACTTTAGTTGTTATATTTGTCCTGCACACGTTGGTAGCAAGCATGGCACTGGGGATGAGCTGTGCTATCACAGCCAGTTATCAGTCACGGAGGCTCGCAGCCATTTCTCATGGCTTAGGGGCTTAAGTCACTGATCCGCAGGGACAGAGTCATGGGGATCAATTCAACAAGACTCGAAAAATGTGTGTGCTTCTGACGAGTCGCAGTGGAATAAAATGGCTATTTCGTGATCTTCAGGATGAGCTCTATTTGTCTGCCTCACTCGGGATACGTTGGAGATCGGACTACACGACCATCATTACTGGGCGTTCTCTTAGTACTTCAGCGAGGCAAAGCGTTAGAAGCAGCGCCCTCGTAGGTTGTTGTTCGATCACGGTGTCTCGGTAGCAGTGCAGTGGTGCGGAAGCAGGAATCACAGATGAGACGGAAAAGCCAAAGAAACGAAAGAACAGGGAACTAAAGCGGGTACCGGGGACGATAGTTGGCAAAGCAAGTCGAGGCCTACGGAACAAGCCGGGAATTGTTCACAAGAGACAAAGTATAACGGGCCCACGTTGAAAAGGATGGGACAGGTACTGGTGGAAGGCCCGATTTTCCGGAGTGATAGCCTTTGTTCCTAACTTCAGGAAGAATCCAAAGGTAATCAAAGCAACCTTGATTGTGGAAACCAAGAGCATTAAACCGAATGCAGTCTGGTCAGAATACGACAGGCGGTAGCGAAGGTACGCGGGCAAATTTACGCAGCAGACTGAGTGCAAGTGCGCATGAATGTGACGCCGAGCGCAAAGAAAATGTGTGATGCGTTGCGGGGTGGAAATGTCGCTCATATGCGCCCGCGCGTGCTATTTTGTTGAGCCGCTGTACGTTGGCAATTAAGATTGCGGGTTCTTGTCACCATTAGTATAGTCATGAACAAGTTGGTTGAACTGGTATCCCAGGCTGGTGGCACAGATATGCGCCACACATAAATCATACTTGTCTTTGTGCCAACCACCACAGAGCCAGTTGGGGTTTTGAAACGAAAGGTGCTCATTTCTAGCATCCCTAACTATCTTGGAATCTTCCCTTTTTACGTGCCTATTGCAACGGTTGCATCAAGTTGAAAATACGATAAGTTACATTGGGTTTAGCTTGAGTGGGCTTTTACTAGGAGCATTACTGGGTGTTTAGAGTTTATCGACTTGGATGTATTTTCCCATACAGACTTCGAAGACTAACGTATTGTCGGTTAAGCTAGCATCCAGCCTGCCGAAGCGTTGGTATGATCCAACTTTTCAGTTACCATGTCACAATTTGTCAAAGGTGATGGTATAGCAGTGGTCAGACCCACACAGATCCAATAACGGTGTCCAGTCTCCCATTTACAGGTAGCAACTTCGCAATTTCAGGTTGACAAGCCATGGAACGCTTGTTTCAGTGGTGGTTCATTGGTCAGGCACTGTGGTAACTATGGGAATTTAGACTGTCGCGTAGGCGACTCGCGTTCCGTACATTGGCACATGCACCTGCAAGTATCTAATTACCAAATGTGAATTATCCAATTTTGGACAAAGTATAGTGATCCTATATATTGGTATACGAACGTTCACTGATGTCTTGCTTGGTTTGGTTTTAACATCATTTCAGAACATCTTATACACCAATGTTTCCGCTACCTCCGTTGGCATTCTCTTTCTCGATTTACTCTGAGTCGAACAAACCTGGCACGAGGTCCTACTCGAGTATACCTGAATCCTACGGAAGCCATCCACTGCTTTGTCACAGAGAGGATAGCTGCCAGTCGTGGACTACAGTTTGTTTCGCAATTCGACACCGTCCTGCAATTTATTGCTGATGCCTGGATAGCGGTGTGTTCCCGAAGTCGCCTGGTGCCTCAGCCACCGTGCTTAACGGGCCATCGCAGACCGTACGCATTGTTGGCCGCGCTGCAATTATGGATCAGGTTGCAGCAACATCATTCAGACAAGTGGGATCGTGATAGGGATTTGTCTGACGGTGCACAAAAGGGCCATGCTCACTTTAAAGGTCAGTTGGAGGCAGCGGCTTTGGCCCTAGAAGAGTCACGACGCCTACATCAACAACAAACGACCTTGTGGATACCGCTAGCAGAGGAAAATTTTGCCGAATCGGAAAAAGCAGTGAAACGCACGGATTTGGCTGTGAAGCAAGCGGAACTACTGACGAACAAGCTTAGGGGTACTTTAACAGAAACTCTCAAGGCGGCCGAGATGGAGTTCACCAGGGTAAGCCATTATCTATCTCTGATCTGATTATTGCTAAGCGCTTAGTTTGTGTATTAGCGTTTCCCGGTGATGAACTCCCAGTGGTACCCACCGTACACCAGGACACCAATCATTTTCTACGAAAAAGTTGTGACAGCATACTTGTATAACAATAAATTACTGTTAGCATAGTCGCTATTAGCGTGATTACAAGATGACGTTGCTACACAATGGTGAAACTTCGCTGAGAGTTTTGACCTTAAACACGTAGACAAGGCAGTCTGTTCTCACAGAACCACAACTTCAGACGGACTTTTACTTTCATTTTATCTATGACGAAATCAAGTGGCTCGATGGTTTTTATGTTGGTAGATGTAGCAATGCTATACGAGGCGCAGATCGCGTCCATTTGCACCGGAATGAACGAAGGTTTGTTGGCTATAACCCCCTTGAATTTTCCGCACAACTACTGTTGCTTATACAAGGTGACGGTAAACCAGATTAGTAGGAAATATTGGCTTAGGCTAATCCTGTTATACTTGCCGGAGTAATACTAGTAAACAGTGAACAGTTAAAGTCACAACACTGTTTTTACAATAATGCAGTGATAGAGGGCTGGAGACGACACTGTTGTTTCATACGAGATATGAAATAATAATACAGGTACCACCTAGATTTCATCCAGACAAGGTAACGCCTTAGAAAAGGGAATTGATACTATACTGTGTATCTAGAGTAGGGGTGAGCAAACTTTTCACAAAGTAAAAATAGATCAAGCCATATTCAGTCTGACATTAAGCTAAACATCAAAAATGACGTATGTTATAAATTTTTAATTGTTTTTAATTTGAAGGATGAAATGCAGGTCTTGACCGCAAAAAACTGGTCAGGTCAGGCTCAATGAGACTGGTTTTGATACACAAGATAACACGTAGGTGAGAAGCGCTTAGTTTCGTCATCACATGGTTGTTGTTACAATTCTCAACTGGGATGTCTGATCACACAAGTATGTCGAGCCACAAAAGCTGAGTACTTTCTTGGCACATGTTCGAATCTCTCGGAATCTGTCTATCCAGCTGGAGATAAAAAACCAATGCGAGAGGACCGCTGGTGCCGACTACAACATTCAACATCGCTTTGCAACACAATTATCTCCAGTTGCAGGTATCCTGGAGCTTTGTCAGAGCCCACAGAGAATGGGGAGGAAAAGGCCGGATCACCTTTTCAACGGCTGCAAAGTCCTGATGGCGCCAGTGAAACTCATCAGCCAGGGATATAACATCTGCGACATACTTCTGCATTCGTATATTGATGTTGCTTTCTGGAAGGCTTCTCATTATTTCCTGTAGTGATGGAAAAAGTGTAATATTAGACTGCGTTTGAGACAGTTGTCTTTGGAGAAGATGCAGCTCATTCCTGAAAGCTTTGATGTATGCATACAATTGGCTTACCACTACACTTTGACCCTGAAGGCTTGTATTCAGCATGTTCAGGTGCCATGTAATATCAACCAAAAATCCAAAATTAGCCAGTCAGCCGGGATCAGATAGTTGTGGCATCGGATGTCCCTTTTTCTCCATGAATTGTTCAATTTTTTTCTTTTTAAGCGATGAAGCGCACTTCCTTGACTGAGCCATCTTACATCATTGTGATATACAGCATCTTCGCATTCATCCCGCATGTCGAGTAGAAACTGCTGCAACTGACGATGACACATGGATTTAGATCGAAAATAGTTGTTAGCGTTTATCGCTCGCTTCGTAACATGATCACACCTCAGATGTTTAGCAGCTAACTTGTTGGTCAATGATGCAGTGGCGTTTTTAATGGCTTTAACCCCTCTTCGCTCACTTTGTCACAGTTGTGTTGCTAAGCCACTGTGCTCGCCAGTCATGACTAGAGCACCGTCAGTATTGATTCCAGAAATTTTTCCATGATAGTTTAATGTCACTGAATTCAGAAGAAAAAGAAGTAGATAAATCTACTCCTCTTGCTTGGTCCTTAAGACTATGCAGGTCAAATAATTCCTCACTCAGACACGTCATCGTTAACTCAACAAGTAAGAAGCCGAGCAGTGTCAAGTGCATCAAGGTTTTCATCACAGGCTATCGAAAAAGTCGAATTGTGCTTCTTTTGCTTTCAATTTCCGCTTAGTATCAGCGAAGATGTCTTCCATTCTGCTATTCACAGTGTTGAGTGCCGCGCAAACAATAGCAAAATTGCTTTTTCTCAGGACAGATATTTGCCGTAATTATCACTAAACATTTTTTGATAAATTCACCTTCAGTAAGTAGTTGGCAGATTTTGATATTAGTTTTGCCACCTCATAACTTTCCTTTGTCGCATTTTTAGTCGACTGACCGATTCTTGCAACCGAGCTTTGCTGTGAGCTTATTCTAGTTTCCAGTTTGCTTCACTTTCTCTACTCGTTCCTGCTTAGTCAATTTGTCATGCTTCATTCTGTAGTTCCTGTTGATATTGATTTCCTTGAAACAAATTAAGCACACATATTCGTTCAGTCGTTCAGTGAAAAAAGACACCAGTTTCCACTTTCCTCGAAGCGGCGCCCTTCGTCATTAACTTTTATTAGTAGCATTCCCAATTCTAGAACAGGAAATAAAATCGCATAAATAAAATCCAGCGATTCCCTTTTTATTCTTTCATTTTATCCGAAGCCTCTTTATCATAATAGTTGTGAAAGTGGAGTAGAGAAGTTTGCTTTTTGTGGAATTAAATAATCATAAAGGAGAAACATTTGTGTCTAAGGAAGTACGTTAAAGTAGGTTATGGCGCAATAAAAATTCAGAGATTAAACTTTAAAACAAATATCCCTTTTTTTAGTACGGGCTAGGTTTAGCTAATCATATATATAAAAGTTTAACGACCCCATACTTTTTAGTTATTTTTTAGTTAAGGCGCCTTTAGGTAAAGCACTAGGTTGACTTTTCCTAGTTGGTGAAAAATAAAGTATTCTACATCATGAATTTTTGCCAGCATCTAACGCCATTGAATTTTGTGCTCATAACATGCTTAATATTTTGTGCTCTATAGAATGTCCTCTGTACAGGACAATTCTTAGCTTGAATTTATTGTTTCATAATATAGAGATGTAGAGAACGTACATTCCTCGACTGTGCGAGTTACGGTCCGACTACTTGGACTGATCATTTGGTACAACATGATCTCATTTAAGTTATGTTGACTGAATTACTGGGGGTCGTTCAGTATATGTTGCACAATCTTCCTAATTAGCATCCGACTTACGTAACTAGTCTTATCCCCACGCTTACTAAATGCATCATTTGATGGTGCAAAACCTTTAAATTTAGAAACTGGAAGCTTCTCAGGGCGTGCAAGGGGGCGGATAGCAAAGGAAATACTGGGACAACAGATCTTGTGTCTATTTTGCTTGCCAATAACTTTTAGATTAACCATGTAAAGTAGCAGTCCGTTATGCAGTTCGCAGGCTCTAATCCTACCACTAGAACTTCAAATGACGCCAATGCGTTTGTCTTTAGTACAGTCAAGAAGCATTTCCGCACAAGAATGGCACATAATGTGAGGTGGTCATATTTTGTCTTGGTCTTCAAGATGGACGTCGAAGTACGCCTTATGGACACATTTCACAAACGGTTATATACCTCATTTGATAGCCTAGTAAATAACAGCCACATATACAACAAAAGGGATCAGGTTCATTTGCACATTTACCTCGACCTGATTGAGCCATGGTCATATCTGAACTGAGAATACAGTGGTAGGAAATTTTCTCTTTATGTAAACAGCTAGATGCATGAAAACTAGGTCATGCAGAAAAACGGTTTTCTGTTTTGAAATCAGCATCAAAATTTCATGTGGAAACAGTTGCACAGTCACTTGCAACATAGTGACGTGATTCTCACCTTTTCCTTTCCTTTGTTTGCATGTTCGCATCACTAGAGTTGTATTTCACTACCAGTTATCGTTTTCGGAAGTGAAGAAACAATACAAAATGCATGCATATACCGATCTTCGTCTACCTACTCTGCTTTCAAAATGCTAATACTTTGTTGTGTAATGTAACCACCCCACCGACCATCCCATGACCTATCCGGGGAGATTAATTAGTTTACTCGACTTTGCTACCTGCAGTCCACGCAAGTATACCAAGAAGCACTGAGCAAAATATACGCATTATCAACGGAAACGCTGGATGAAATCCGCTCGTACATTACACCACCGAGAGCGGTGAAAACCTGTGTCTACACGATTTGCATGCTTTTTGATGAAGAAGAAAGGTTAGCGTTTTCGTAATTGTTCAACGTGCTACCTTTTGTGGGCGTGTTTGCCACATTTTGTCCTTCTCGCCTCTCGTTTGCATTGGTGATGACGGTTCTTTCAAGAAGGCTTATTTGCTCCATCTGTTGGTTGATGTGTTTAGAAGCGGTTCTGCCGTAATGTCTAAAATAGCCAATCCGACAGGGAATAAGCTTGATTCAAGCGCACAGACTAGGTTGGGTCCGGTCTGTGGGATTCAGACATGAATATCTAATCTCGTTAGAATGATGTGAACAGGTTCATTGCATCTACAAACGGACACTATCGGCAGCGAATACTTGGAGCGATAAACCACAATGCTTACTGTTATAGCGGAGGTAAGAATACTCCAATACTCTCCGTGGTTTTGTGAGTTTTCTTCCACTCACCCCCATTCACCCCGTCCTCTTTTACGGTTCCCCACATACGTTTCTATTACTTCACCTTTGTGACTAGCTTGGGTTGACACTGAATCTTATGCTTAATGGTTTTTCCCTTACTCTGTACATTTCGCTCGTTCGTGAGACATCGTATCGATCCTTCGCCCCGGGAATGACCAGCTTTGATTGATCGATTGTCAGCCTTTCTGCCTAGCCTGTGTATATGCCCTAATTTGAATCATGTCATAGAGTTGCACACACAGACGTTTGGTGGCCGGTTCGGCGTGCGGCGTGAACATTATTTTCTACCCGGTCGTTGGTGTTCTCACTACGGTTAGTGGGCGGAAGCAGTCGTGGGGCTCCGACACAACACTTACAAGAAGGTATTTTCCTTTGGAAATTAAAAAAGCCTTTGCTAATATCTTGGGTAGTTAGGTGAGCCCACGAGTTTTGCTATCAACAGCCATACGTGTTCGAAATTGGCAATGGTAGTTTTAATTTTGACCTTACTTACTTTTTTCTTTTAAGACGAACTTAGACAGTCACACGTTCATGGTGCATGAGTAAATGCGGTTTTAATACGGAAGGATGCTCTGGCGGCATAACAACCAGTACCACTGTTGTGCCAAGCGTAATGTGTGTAGAAACAAAAGTTTATTACTATGCAATGAATCGCAGTGCAACTTTTGACTACGTCAAGCAAGTAGTTTAAAGGTACTCGACGAAGTTAGTTCAAAAGAACAAGTGTTAGTTGAAAAATGCACGCAATTCTTGCAGATACTAGCTACTTCGTCCATGATTTGAAGGGTCGCGATAGAAACGAACACATTAGGAAGTCCATAGTTCGCCACCTAAAACGCTCCTGGAAGATGGATTGGTCGACACGGAAACCATAACACATCTGCACCTATGTGGAGGTCGAGTTCCCCTTATGGATGGTTTACCGATGACCCAAAAGGAGAACATTCCTCTACGCCCAATTGTCTCAATGGTAAGCACATCGTATCGAAAGTCAGCACGTTGGCTAACCGACTGATCAGACTTCTTGGGAGAGAGCTAGCTGGGTACACCCATTAAGGAAGCATTTGGATTAGCCGACAAAATATTGGGTTTAAAGGCAGATTGGAAATACACGGTCTGTTTTGATGTATGCTCACCGTTCACCAACGTTCTATTGAAGAAGAATTTAGACCTCATCAGCATTCGTGCTGACAAAGTGGGGTCTCTAACACCACCTCAAGTCTATATTCTGTTTCTGCACCACGGACATTCAGTTCGAACTCAATGGAGCCATCTGTCATCAGATCGATGGGCAACCCGCTTGGACCGGTCCGTGCTGATATTTTCCTAGATTAGTTGGAGCACGCTAAACTATGTCCTTACATACAAAATTTGCAGTCGTACAGCAGATACCTTGACGATACATTCGTCGTGGTTGATACAGCTCAGCAGATGGACTGTCTACTCGAGGTTTTAAACGAATACCACCCTGTGATCAAATTCACGGTGGATCTCAAACTGCGCAAGTTCTTCCACTCCTTAGATGTACACCCAGAGAGGTATCCAGACGATACGCCCATTCCATCCGTGTATTGCAAGTCTACTTAGACGGGACGATATTGTAAGTTTAAGTTTCAGTCCTTATAGGACTGCGCCTTTGTTCGAGCTCGCAAAAGTTGAGGATAAGGTCAAGAGTGAGCTGGAATGTGTTTCATCAATAATACGTTAAAACGGATACTCTGCGAGATTTGTAGCCCGGTAAGCAAATGCAGAAAACCGCGAGAAACGATTTAAAGTTGTCCCCAAGAAAAACGTGTTCATCATGCTACCAAGATGATAGAAGATTTCAGAATCGCCCCCGCGACATAGTATGTAAGTGATTTTAGGCGAATGAACTAATGTTACTGCATCAAGTTAGGGGGCTGATATGTAATTCCAACCCGGATAAACCGGACCCTCACATCACCGCTTACTGCGGTTACATTTTCTACTGCACTTGTGGTAGCAAACATGTTGGCCGAACTAAGAGGAGGCTGTCCACAAGAATTCCAGAGCAAATTCCACGAACCATGGTCGCAGGCGGTCCTAAGCCGCCGGCTAGCTCCATTGCGCAGTATATCATACACTGCGATACGTACTGACGCCCTCCTGAATGGTCCAGGTTAATTAACCGACAGAGCAATGCCCGTTTGTTTCCGTTTGTCGAAGCTACTGCTATTCGGCGTCTGAAGCCCAATTTGTGCAAGCAGACTGAATTTACGACCGAAGTAATCTTGCCTTAGTAAGTTTACTGATGGTTTTCTCCAAACTGAATTACTTTGCACATTGTTCCCTCTTTTACGCAACACAATAATTCCACGTACTCTATGCGAACTACTAATGGAAATACTCGAAATATCTCAATTCGGAATACTCTTGTTCTTGTACAACGGAGAGTAAACGCAACCAGTCCCACCGGAGTAAGCAAGTGCAACACTGTCCCAATTACACTGATTCGGCTCACAACAGTCACCCCCAACCACGCGGAACATGTCGGAAGGCATGCACCTTACTGAGAAGTGATATAGGACAACCAATTTCATACAAAGAAGTTTAGACGGTTGGTGATACGTAAACTCCCACTAATATGCATGTCAGATGGCGTTCGCTCTCAACACAGCACCCAGGACCGTTTCGTGCTAGTTGGCAAACTTCAAACAGAACTAGAAGGACTTCGGCTCGAACATGAAAAGTAGAGACCATAGGTTGACTGACTCATCTGTCGTAGGGAGCGGAAGCCGACGACTACTCGGGAACCGGAAAGACAACAAGAAACGGTATGGTAGGGAATTACAAACGGGCACCATGGATGAGACGAGACAAGACAGTGCGATCCTTGTGGATAGAGCCGAGAGGGGATCACGAATGACGTCTGGTAACGAGCCTGGGCCCAGAACAACGGAGGAGGTATGTGTCCAGAACCCAGTGAATCAAACAAATACGCCGCTACCGAAGCCCACAGGACTGAACGCGGGCCAAGTGATTCAGCCACGGGAAAGCAACTCGCGCGCTTTCGAACGACGCCTGGCTGGCCAGTATCGGATATAGCGAAGAGGAGAAACAGGATGAAACGATGGAGGGATGGTTCCCATACTCAAGCTCGTAGGCACAAATCCTTGTCCGCGGTGCGTCGTGGGAAGAAAACACGGTCCATATCTGTACGCGTTTGTGTGTGGTCAGTTGGCGCATGTTGTGGCATTGCACACTCTGCCCCCCCCCTCCTGCGTCGTTCTCGCTTCACTGGTTCCGCGATTAATCAGGATGAAGCTGGCCTGACCAACGCAATCTGCGCACGGAGCTGTGGAGACATGTCTCGATGAATTGGGGGTCATGGCCGCATGTAACGGTGACAAAGATGACTCCATTTTGATAACCGCTTGGGGCACGCTATTGGATGGAAAGGCGAAGGCGATGTATTCGCTCATTCGGAAGACCAAGTCTGCTGTTCGTTCGCTGAGGTGTGGGTTACATTGTGTGGAGAATTTGAAGGAAGGCGATAGACAGCGAGCAGTGGAGTAAATCTACTCAGCCAAATGGGAGGAACAGGAGGATTTGTTGGTGTTTTTCCAGCAACTGGAAAGAAAGCTGGTGCTTGGGCTTCCCGAGTTGAAGGGTAACGCAAGGGAACGGCTACTCGAGTAGCAATGTGTGCGAAGCCTGCCTGGACCCACTCCATGACAAGTTAAAATTAACAGCGCTGAGTGGAGAGCAGGGCGGAGTATCTGGTGACGGTTGCCCAGAATTTTTCGGAGCGAGTGACAATGAGGAAAGTCCGGCATTCGTAGTTGGAACACAGAGTAAACCAGCTGTACGGAATGCTGGAGAAGCTGTTGTCCGTGGAGACTCCGAGAGCGATTTCACAACGCAATGAAGATGGAAGCCGTAACAGTCGCCGCTGTTTTTCATGCAATCCGGTGGGGCATGTGATTGGATCCTGCACCAACTGCACTCTGTACCATCATTTCTCTCTATCCTTGCCGAGTAAGTGGCGGATACTGGTCCTCAGGGTAACTGTTGAAAGTGTGTCGGTCCGGGCCATAGTGGACACGGGAGGGGGAATATCCATTATGAAGAGGTTCGGAGGAGTTCCAGTAACTTAGTCCTCGATCGTGATGCAGGTCATCGGTGGGCATCGTTTGACGGTGACGGGCACACAGCGGTTGCGAACCAGGATGGGCTAAACGCTCCCAGGCCATGCTATGCTCATCGTGGAGAAGAAAACCGAAACAATCATCGGCAACAACCTCCTCAAACGGTTCGGTGCTACAATTGATCTGAGAAACGACTTGGCAATCGTAAGCAACGGGAAGATTGACATGAATACTGGGAGATTCGACTGGGTAGATGTCACCAAGGTCCTTCCTGATTGCCAGTACCCTGAAATACGAAGTGTACTGAGCAAGTATATAAATAAATAAAAATAACTAAATCGCCAGCTGCACGCCGTAACGGCGTTTCGCTTCCACACGACCACCACCAGTAGTGCGTGGGCTGGGTATATCGAATGTCATCAATCCCTGGAGGGCAGTGCATGCCGATCTTCAGAAGAATACCGCATAATACGCTGACGGAGATACA